AAAAGATTTTAATGAAATTAAATAAACTTAATCATAGATATATTCATTTTCTTTTTTTTACAAACGAGAAAATTAAATATCTCGTTTTCGATCAACAAAAATATGTACAACGTATAAAATAATAATAACGATTTATTCTGCGTGTATTCTTCAATATTTCATTGTGATTTCGTTTAAATCGATCAGCTCGTCGAATATAATTTTGCCAATAATTTTTTTGCTCGAATGTATCCATCGTTGCGCGATCGATTCGAATTGTTTCGATAAACTCCTCCGCTTTTCCATCCGATAAATACGAACGACAGGAAAGTAGCCACCGTAGTGGAACACGTGGAAGTTGGTCGATTCATGTTCGAGAAGTGGAAGAAGTGGAGAAGTTGGCGAAGTGACCGACTTCCAGACGAGAAAGAATCAAAAGGTTAGAAAATGTATGGACATGATCGCGAGAGAATTCGACTTTCGAATTCTTCCTTCTCTTTTCCCCTCCCTCCTCCCTTCCTCCTCCTCTCCTCCCCCTCTCCCTCTGGTCAAATTGGCCAGACCGTGTACGCGCGCGTTTCCTGTCGGAAAACTTTCCAAAGTTCGGCAGACAGGGATGACTCGACGAAAAGTAGGAAGAAGAATTTCTGTTACCATTGACGGCCCCGACTTACGAACTTCCGCCGGACGAAGAAACCGGCCAATCGATACGCGCCTCCTCCAAAAGGTCTCGAGAACTTTGCCAGAATTTACTGTCGTTCTTCTTTCCAAGAAACTTGGAAATCGAAATGCTTGGAAAATAAATGCCCGCCACTTCTTCCCACTTAATTAATCGTGATCTTTGTTGAAAACTTTTTCCAATGTTTTTTTTTTTCCTAATTATTGTAATGGAACAGTGAAAAACAAAAATTTCGTTCCACTATGGTGTTCAAAATTTATATATTTCATAAATTTTTACCAAAGTTTATTTCGAATCGTATTCCAACTTGAGCGAAGAATCTTTCGAAACAGAGCGAATTCGCTCTAATTCTTTCTTTCGTTTAATTTCTAAAAACTACCGAAAACTAAATATTTCCATTGTAAAATAAAATATCTATTTTTCCACTTAAAAAAATTAATTCACCAAACTAACACATTTACGCATTTCCATTATTCCTTTTTTCACCTTCAAAGATTCTAACCTCGAAAAACAAAAAGAAATAATTTTTACAATAATTGTTTAAACTTACCAGTAAAAAAAAACATCTAAACAAAATAATTCCTCGATTCTAGGATTCAATTTCTCTTTTTCTCCAATCGAAGAAAAATCTAGAAATTCAAAGCAACAAAAGAGCGTAACTAAAACAGTTGGCAGTGTCTACGAGACCGCATTAAAAAAGCAACGAGGCGAGTCTCAGTGGCAGGATCGAAGGCAAGTTAAATGGAAGGATTCGGAATTCTCTTCTAATTTCGGTTCCCAATATACAAGTGCTATCCGTAACGGGCACGTTTTACGGGTTTGTATAGCGTTGGTCGGCATAAAATCAGCCATTTAAATGGTGGCTCACGTAAAGCCCATGGCTGCCGGACCAACTTTTGTCCCCCTGTTCTCTCGACAACGTTTGCAGACGGTTCTCTCCTCCTCTTTCCCCCCTCGCACCTCCATCCTATTCTCCTTTTATCTCTTTCTCTTCGCCAACTCGCTCGAATCGAACTTCCCTTCGATACAATTTAACGGCTTTCAGTTGCGTTTTCCCTTCGGTATTTACTCGCGGACATCTACGGTGAAAACGCGGCCTACGTTTCCGGCATAATGGGATCTTCACCAACTTTCCGCCAGTTGTCGCGGCCGGTCACGTTTCTACCTTCACTGTATGTAATTGACGTTTATTGTGTTCGCGCAACATGGAAACGTATCGATGAATGGGACGAGTTTCTTTTCGAGTTTTTTTTCGTTGGTTGCTTTGTGTTTTGATATGAAAAAAACGTGGATGTCATCTTTTTGATATGGGATATGGTTTTTCGAGAAAATATTGCGTTAGTAATAAAAGTAATAAAGATCGTAAACTTGTGATGCGTTGCACGATTGTGGTTATGTAACTTGATCTAATTGAAGTCATTGGTTTTTTTTTGGTTTGGAGAAAGTATAATGAAAGAGATGTAAAATAAAGCTAATCTAATTTGACCAAAGAAATTGAAATAGTAATAAGAAGATGTAATAAGTATGTTAAAAATTTAGATATAGAGAAAAGTGTAAATATTGAAGATTTAGATTTTAAGGTTAAATTTTTCATCATTTTATTGATTGATCAAGTATTTAAGCCATATAAGTTAAAAGATTTTAACTGAAAGCGGGAAATATAAATGCAGAGTTCGTAGACTTTCAACGGAAGGAAAGGTACTTAAGATAATAGCATTATTATTGGAATTGAAACATATATTCGTGCGAGTAACTTGATCCGCAGCTTGTTTAGTGACAATAAATAGGTGCCCTATTTACGGATCACGCTTCGCGTATAACGGCGCGGAAATAGGCGAAAGTTATGGATATGGATGTTTTATAACCTATAATGGACATACACACTACTGAACTTTTATTCTAAAAAAGAAAATCATAAAAAAAATTTAAAAATTGTTCATTCATATCTTTATCTTAATATTATATAATTTTATATATTTTATTTTTTATTACCAAACCTATCTTTGTTATATAAAAATAGTTTGATAACCGAGATATCGATGCGATTATTTTTAAATATCTTTTTTACGAAACAAGAAAATCAAATATTTTTTTTAATAAAAGGATAACAAGAAATAGCACTTACCCTTACAATCTCAAAATAAAACGTGCGAGCAATTTATCCCTATTCGTAAAATATTATTCCAATTTTCCTATATTTTTAATATTCCATAGTTTCTCTCAAAATCAAATTTCGCAAAAATTTACATTGATTAATATTTTTAAGAAAAAATATCTAATATATATGTATATATATATATATATATAAAATAAAATTTCATCATTCACATCAAACGAATCGTGAAATTAATAAGACAATTTTCAATTATAAATTTCATATCGAAGTTCTGATCACTATTCTCATAATATCGCGTGTATTATTTCTGCGCGTGTCTACACGAATGTTCACCCTTTCCCGATGCCGAGCGAGATCGGGAAAAAAAGGTATAGTAATTAATGAGCACCGCACTGGGACACGATAATGAGACTTCTGTCTGTACCTGTGGGAACACGGCAAAGCGAACGTTTTTTCCCTCGCTATTTTGCGCTATTTTTATGTTATTAACGCGCTGGACCACTCTCGAGTACACTGCGGATAAAATCTAACGCACAGGATCTTTTAATTATTCCGATTCGCGTACAGTTTCTTATTTGTTTGCTATTTGAAACATATATATACACGCTTCGTACTGTTGATTAGAGTAATCTAGTAATCGTACTAGCAGTAGAATACTATCAGATTTCTGAAGAATATTTGAATATTCGATCCACCGTGATGATCTATTTGAATATAGATTCGAATCTACCAGGGAATCTAGATTTTGTCTATGAATCTTATATTAGATAATTTATTAGAATTTTAATTTTTTTTCAAGAATCTTAAGCTAAATTTAGGTTAATTAATTTTCATTTTTTTTGTTGAATTTAATAATAATAAATCGAATCGTGTGTAATTTAAATTCAACGAGAAATGAGTTTTTAATTAAAAATAGAAGAAGTTGTTGGAAATTCTCTTATCGTCATAAGAAATAATTTCATCAATTTCTTTTAATTCTCTTTAAAAATAATCCCAAACGTGTAAATAAATTTATCTTAGAATTAAAAACTTTGAATTTCAGTTTTAAAAAATTTCTTTTTAAAATCAGGAAACTAAGTTATGGTAATTCGATCAGTCGATATTGAATTGAACAAAGGGCACTACTAAACTCACCAGCTCGAAGAGTGACTTCTCTGGAAAGCACGGTTCCTACTGAACTGGTCGCACGACACCTGTACCTAGCGTTGTGCACTTCCGCTCGAAAATCCTGCGCCAGAAATGGCGGAAAATAGAGGGTGCCGTTCCCGAGCAGCTGTCTGAAACAACCAGAAGGAAACAGAAAAAAGAAAGAAAATGAAAACGTTAGAATTTCAACGTCTTTGCCTATTTTCCTCATTCGTCAGATAAATTTAATCATTTTTAACTTTTATAATTCGTCATTGTGATTTTCCTTTTCTTTTCTTTTTTTGTTTTTTTTTTTTTGTTAGAAAAGAACAGAAAATTTCTTTTTCCGAGGGGAAAATATCTTTTATTAATTCCGCGGAATTAAAGCTCTTTAAAATACGGTAGAAAAATACGTGGTTAAGGGGATAATTAAAATATGTGAACAAACGAGATGAATAACGAGAAAAAAATTTTAATCTTAATATTGTACTTGATATTAAATCATAGAGAATTAAATCCTACGTATTTTAACTCTGCCGCGATTCGTTGGAAGTTATTTTTTTTTTTTTTTCTTTTTTTGTTACTTAAGAAATTCTCAATTCAAGAAAATTAGTTAATTTTCATCGAAGAAGAATATCGTTCTTCCCTGCTATTTAATTTTATCCCTTTGAAATCCCTTTCATCTTATTTTCAGACTTTTAGAATCGAAAACGGGAAAATATTACGAGAAATATATTTTAATATTTTTATCTATATTTCTTCTTATCTATTTCTATTTCTAATTTCATTTGTTTCTCGATTCTCTTCGCTCGATAAATCTCTCCGAATTCAACAGAGTTCTCTTTCGGTTGGAAAACATTTCCTTGAGCCGATTAGCCGAATCGAATTACCCGCAAACAAGATGAAACATTCAAGATTCGTCATAATGGGTAAAAAAAAAAAAAAATGTCGCCGTGTCTCACCAGTATTGATTCCACGAGAGGTCAAACCTCCGGTTGGCTTCCGCTTGTCTGAACTCGTCATACGTGGGGAACCGTCGCGAGATTTCCGCTTGTTAGCTCGGGGATGAAGGAATTTGGGACACGGTGGTGGAGAAAATACGCTACTGTTGTTCCAAATAAAAAAAAAAAAAAAAAAAAGAAGAAAAAAAAAATTGAGAAAAAAAACGGACGAAAATGGATGGACTTTTCAAAAATTCAAAAGTGATGATTTGCAAAAATGATAGACGTTTCGTAAAACTTTTGCATTGTAATTCGTATTAAAAAAAACGGTGTTAAAATTCAATTGCAAAAATAAAAATCTATTTCAACCCCTTCTCAACGATTCACTCGAAAATTTTTAAGCACGATATCGACGAGCTCGTTGAATTCGAGATTTCGTGAATTCCATTTTACGTTGTAAAATGTGAAAAAAATTTCAATCTCATTTTTCGTAACATCAGGAGCGTATCGAACGATCGTCGAGGCACGCGAGCTTTCCCAGGCGCATAATAAATACGCGGCAGGATTAAATGCGCTGGCAAACGCGTGATGTTTGCCGTGAGAATGATTTACATTAACGCTTAATGGGCTTCTGGCTCACGAACCTTTGCCCACCAGGATAAGCCTGCCGCGTTTTAAATTCGCTAATTGATAGTAAAATCGCGGGCGGACGTTGGGTATAAACTTTCCTCGCGCAGAAAGTTTCCAAGCAACTTGGTGGAGCAAAGCAATCGAAATCGTATCTTTTCGTTTCCGTTTTTATTATTTCACGGTGTATATATTCGCGAGTAATATTTTAATCAAGGGGAAATCGATTTCATCGATAATTAATAATTCGAATTTTTGAGCAAAATGAATATTAAATTCCCAGAAAATAATAAAATTTCGTTCACATCTTCTTCTTCTCTCGAGTGTATCGTTCATTATTATTTTTTTTAATTACGAAATGATAAATAATAAACGTTATAATAATAAAGAATATTCTCGAAAAGGAACAAAGATAAAAAAAAATTATATTCGAAGTTAACGAGAAAAAAAAAAAGTTGTAAGTTTTGTAAATTTCAGATATTCTCGTGATATATCCAGATTTATCACGAGAGGAATTAAATTATACTACGCACTAAACATTTCATTAGATTATATTCCATTAAAGGATATCAAATATTACGAATCGAACGATTCACGATTCAAATTAAAAATTATCTCTTGGTCCGAGTGCACATTTTCTTGCGTTACAGGTTTAATTAGAAACTGGTATTCCGTATTCATCGCATAATTACACGCGTCCATGTACGTGAACAACGTGGTTACGTTCCCCGTTTATGATAGTCGGGCTGATAAAGCGTTGCCCCGCGCTACTTGTTTAACTATACACCCTGCCACACTACTTAACCAGCTACGTAACCCACTTGTACTAATTACTTACACAATCGGTGTAACAGTTGCTTGATAAAACACGCCACTGTTGTATTAGTCTGATTAGATATTGTGTCTGTCAATATTTACCTATTCTACTTGTCCGCTCTAACGCGATCGTATTCCATCAACACGATAGCGTGTTTTGATTTTCCCATCAATTCTCGCTTGTTTAATTAATCGATATCTGTCATTGCTATTCGTTTGTCATTATTTTCTAGCTTCTCTCTCTTCTTTCTTTTTTTTTCTTTTTTCAAAAGATATAACGTTCCTCCCACCGCATTTGTTTCGCCTAGCGTATCGATGCTAGTCTGACTATTTAGTGGCTCGCTCCACTTCGACTCGGCTCGCTGTATTTCCATTTCGTTTGTTCGACCGATGCGCTGACCGATACTACTTATTCGACAAAAGGAATTTTTCCAGATTCCGATCACCGTTCTTCTTTCCATTTAATTTCTGCAAAATGAAATATATTATAATATTTTTCTTTCTTTTTATCAATCTAAATTCACGTAATATTCTATATAGAATTTCATTCATTTGAAAATTTCGTATACGTTTTGAAAAAACGTTTTAAAAAATTTCTTATGATCAAACACAAATTTTCAAAGTGATTAATTTCAAATTCCAATTCAAATTGTAGTAACAGCCGAGGATTAATAGAATTACAGAGACACGTCGTAAATAAACGTGTATTACCAGCTTGTTGATCGCATCAATTTACGAGATTCCACGGTAAGATTAACACCGTACCAAAACTTTCCACAACGCCATGTATATTCCATCGGAACACTTAACTATACAAATATTCGCCCCGCTCGTAAACTAGCTGTTTCGAGGGCAAATAAACGTTACACGCAAGACAAATTTGTTCGAGCGGATCGAATCACGTAGTGTATTAGATTCTCGACTCGGCCAGATAATTTCTTCCTTTCGTTCCTTTTTTTCAATCCTTCTTCTCTTTCGTTTATTTCTTGGAATTCGTTCCACCACCAATTTCTCCTTTTCTTCCCCTTTTCCTCCCCCTTTTCCTTCGTCGAAAAACAACCTCCTCCTCCTCCTCCTCCTTCTCTTTCTCCTCCTGCCTCCTCTTTAATCGATCGACTCTTGTCGAAAGATACAGTCGTCGGGTTTCGCGAAATGAAGAGAAAACGCGACGTCTGAATTACGGGAAGGCGGGGAATCGGGAGCAAAAGGAAACGTTTGACGGATGAACGGGAGGCTTCGAAAGGGGTTCGCTTCCGCTTTGAATTCTTCTCCACAGAGCCTTGCGGCTTTCGATACGAAAGTTCGTTTCAAAATGTTCGAATGCTAATGCATGCTCTGCGTTAGATGTTTTGAATTCGATCGATCGATATATGGATGGATAAAAAAGGATGAGAGGAAATAAAGGGAAGAGTTTGTTTGTTCCTTTGAAAAAAATGATACCTCTCTTTCTTTCCCTGAGAATTCTTGAAAACTCGAGAATGATCGTAATATCGAAAACGATCAACGAGACGAAAGCTAGTCTCAACTAGGTTATTCTAAACTTGTGCTTTCAAAAATAAAGAAAAAAAAAAAATAATGAGAAAATTAAAATCACCTAGAGAGAAGGGAGGGAATGTTCGTTTTAAGGAGAATTTATTAGAAATTAGATTTCGTTCCACAATTTTTCACTCTTTCGCGGGATTATTCGTTGAGTAAAATTCGTTCATTAACGAATTAGAAGGAGAAGTAGGGAGAGAGGCTTGCAGCCTTCCTGTGGGACGCCTGCTTGCGGACAAACTTACCAGACGACCATTGGATAAGGAACATTTCAATTACCGGGAGGAAATGGTTTCCCCAGGTGCCACGTTTACGATATTGCCGGACGTGTGGCGTCAAACTTCCAATAATACCAAACCTTTCGTGACCTCCATATAACTCCCCCTCCGAATTTAAATTCTTATTTTAATTCCGGGATAATATAAAAATTCTTCTTTCCTCTCTCTCTCTCTCTCTTATTTTCGTATCGTAATGTAAATTTAAATCTTCGATTTTATATAAAAAAAAAAACACGAATTATCCGATCGAACTGATTCCTGAAAAATTCATCATTGTCAATTTACAAATACAAAATTAAATATCGAAATTATCTACGTACCCGACCATCGAATCCAATTACGTTTTCGATTTAGAATTCGAAGAAAGAATATATCATCGCGATCAATTAATGATCCAGTTCCAGAAACGCAGGTTTTTGGGGCCATCGGTGTATATCTAATTAGGTAATTAGTGTATAACCGTATTTAATTGAACAAGTATAACGGGACATCACACGATCGAAGATAATAGAACAGTACCCGAGTAAATTGAACACGTGAAATTTGCTTGTTGGATAGAGAGATATAATGGAATCATAATAGATCAAAAAAGATCGATGAAAAATGTCGAAAAATCGAACGAAAAAGAAAGGAAAAAAGATCGAAGATAAAGATTTTGAACGAGCTTTTGAAATTTATCCCCTACTTTTTATTTTCCAAAAAGAAAAAGAAAAATCTAATTCAATTTAATCCTCGATATATATTCGTAAATCGTCCCATATTTTCGATGTAAACAAAATTGAACGAACGGGGTTAAACAGGGGCAAAGTGAAGGCGAGATCGAAATTGTTCGGGGCGGAAGAATTTCCCGCTTAATTATCCTGGCCCCGATTAATATCAAAAGTTCAATGCGTGTAATTATGTGTTTCGCGGGAACGATGGCAACCGTATTTTTCAACATGGCGCCCTCTTGCTAAGTCCGCCCCGTTCGAAACTCCCTCAATTTACAGCGGCTCGCAACTTCTAAATCCCGCCACGCTAATCCGCTTACCCGCTTTCTATCGCGGCAACCACTCTTACGAATCGGCGAATTTTCCGGCCGAAAATACGGATCTTACTACTTACTGGCTGGCGATAAAGGAATTACGCCGAACCCATGAAAACCCGCCGCCATTTTCTCTGTGCACGCGTTCCTTACAACGTCCACGTATCTGTCCACGGAAACGTGTTTGAATATAAATACAATGGAGCGTGAAGTGATGTAGTACAACGAATATTATTGTGGCGTTGATTATTAATTTATTTAATTCGATATATATATATATGAGATGAATCGTGACGATAAATTTTTTTTGAAGTATAATAATCGTTTCATTCGTAAAATTGTTGTTAAAACAAGGTAAAATCGTTATAACGATATTATAGAAATGGTATTAATAAATTGAAAAATTCCTGTCCAATTATTCCATTTATAAGATATTTGTATCGACAGAGGAGAGATTTATATTTTCAAAGCCTGTATGGAAAGCCTATTAATTATTCCGAAATAAAAGTATCGTTGTAGAAATAAATTTTAATGGAAAATTTTGAAAAATTCTTCTCTTCTTTCTGTCTAAAAAGTAAAATACGTCGAACTTGGAAAGAGGAGTACGGGTACGTTGCAATCTTTGGCGAACGCGGTAAAAGGATTAAAAAGGAAGGGGATTAAAAGTAGTAAATTTATGTTAATTAACTCACCTTAGCCCGGGAACTGCGGTGACCGATCTCTGATCCGGACTGGTTATCCAGGTGACGTGCGGCGTTGGGCTCCCATGAGCGGAACAGCTTAGCTGGGAGCCTGTGGTATTGGAAAAGACCAGGGTGCTTGGTGGCTCGAGAACGAACACCGGTCCTTGCTGACCGACCACGAGTTCCAGAATGCAGGCTGAGGGGCAGATTAAAGACACAGATAGATATACGTTAATGGAGTTCGTGCGTCGACAAACCATTTCATCATTCAACTCTGATTTGAAATATCGTCTCGCCTTTCTCTATCTCTCTATCAGTAAGTATAAAAATATCGTATTGTATTTTGTATATCGGTGGTTGAAAATGCTAAAATTCTTTTTTATACGAATTTAGGATTTCTATTCGTCATCCAACTTTGATTTAAAATATCGTGTATTTATATCGGTGGTTAAAAAATGCTAGTCTTTTTTTTTCTTAGGATTTTTAGGATTTTTAGGATTTTTTGTTGCCCAACTTTGATTTAAAATATCGTATGTTGTATATCGATGGTTAAAAAATGCTAATCTTTTTTTTCTTAGAATTTTTATTCATCGTTCAACTTTGATTTGAAATATCGTCTTGTCTTTCTCTATCTCTCCGTAAATATAAAAATATCGTGTATTTTGTATATTGGTGTTAAAATCTTTTTTTATACAAATTTAGGATTTCTATTTCAAATTAAAATTTTAAATTAAAATATCGGTGGTTAAAAAATGCTAGTCTTTTTTTTTCTTAGGATTTTTAGGATTTTTAGGATTTTTTGTTGCCCAACTTTGATTTAAAATATCGTATGTTGTATATCGATGGTTAAAAAATGCTAATCTTTTTTTTCTTAGAATTTTTATTCATCGTCCAACTTTGATTTGAAATATCGTCTTTTATATAAATTTGTCTTTCTCTTGTCTTTCTCTATCTCTCCATAAATATAAAAATATCGTGTATTTTGTATATTGGTGTTAAAATCTTTTTTTATACAAATTTAGGATTTCTATTTCACCCAATTTTAAATTAAAATATCGGTGGTTAAAAAATGCTAGTCTTTTTTTTCTTAGGATTTCTATTCGTCGTCCAACTTTGATTTAAAATATCGTATGTTGTATATCGATGGTTAAAAAATGCTAAAATCCTTTTTTATACGAATTTAGGATTTCTATTTCATCCAACTTTGATTTAAAATATCGGTATTGCATATCGATGGTTAAAAAATGCTAAAATCCTTTTTTATACGAATTTAGGATTTCTATTTCATCCAACTTTGATTTAAAATATCGTGTATTGTATATCGGTGGTTAAAAAATGCTAGTCTTTTTTTCTTAGGATTTCTATTCGTCGCCCAACTTTGATTTGAAATATCGTATCGCTCGATAAATTTTCTCTCGATAAATATAAAAATATTTATATTTATCGTATATTTATTTATTTATCGTATATTTTGTGTATCGATGGTTAAAAACGTTAAAATTTCTTTTTTTTTTAATACAAATTTATATAAAAGACGATAGGAAGAAATTATTCATAAATTTCTACATAACATTCTCGATATACAAATTTATTTTCACAAATTTGCATCGTATCGCGATTATTTCATATAAATTAAATATTCGTGAAATTTCGCGAAAAATAAATCGATAATTAAATCTCGCATTATTATCATAATACCAACAGTACACATCGCGCGCGCGCGCGCGCACACATATATATTGAACAAAAATACAGAAATACAGAATTGTGTAAATTTGTGTAAAAAAAAAAAAAAAAAAAAGAAAAAAAAAATAATTCAAATTGAACAAGATATTTCCATTCACCGAAAATAACGCGAAAGAATGGATTGATCCCCGCCTATATACAACGATGTGCACGTTATAACGAAGAGGAAATGATTCGGCCATAAATCGAGAGGGGTTGCCGGGCTAGCTAGCAGGGAAACGGTTTTTAATCCGACGGATTTCGAATTAAATATTTTAGCGGGCCGATGACGCGGTCACTCGGGTTCCCAGCCCGTTTAATCTCAGGCTTGGTGTAGTGTCAAATCGATGCGGAATGTAGGTCGAATTCGGCTTACCGGAATTGATTTCTCCGGTTTCTGAATTATCGTCCCTGGTGCGCTTGCACTTGCACACCCATCCCCTCCTCCATTAACCCTTCGTTTTAATCTCTATTTTCCCGTGTAGATACTCGAATATATCGATGAATTTGGATGTATCGATAGATATATCATTGGAAATAATTCTTTTTATTTGGTAATTCGATCGAGAAGAATATTGAAAATTGGAGGAAACGAGGTCGAAAGAGTCGATAAATCGCATTCTTTTTCTATAAATGTATCTCTCTCTCTCTCTCTCGTTTTTTTTAAATAGAACCAATTTTATTCATTCGAATTAAATATTTTTACGGTTAATTTTAAAAAAAAGAGAAATTGTATTGTGTATTTCTAGTAGCAGATTCGATTTCAACATTTAAATATTCGATATGTCGATAATTACGATATTTCTGCGCTTATCTTTTATTCTCTATTGAAAATTCTTCTTCTTCGTGTATACGTACGTACACGAATGTACTTAGAAAATGGCCAACTCTGTTCTTCGAAGCAAAAGTAAATACGAATACCTTTATCTCTTTAGAGAGCCAGCTTGGTCAATTTCCACGCGAAAGATCGTTCGATTTTCGCGATGCTCAGCATCGCGCGGAGATTCGAGAACGCGGAGGGGGGAGAAATAGGGAAAAATACGCGGAGAGCAGCGTTTTTCCACCGCGCGCGGACAACCGTGAAAACGGTTTTCTCGTCGCGTTTGAGGTAATGGGCCGAAGAAGAAGAAGAAGAAGAAAAAGAAACTCCTTTGAAACGAAACGCGGTTGGAAAAAATCGAAAACTGTTCTTCTATCGATGAAAAATCGAAAACTTTTTGCGTTTCTTCGTTACGTTTCTTTGTCACGAAAAACTTTCGTTCCGTGAAAGAGAAAGGCGCAAAAGAAAGAATTTTCGTTTCGAAAATTTCATTCGTCATTAATCCACCTTCACGCACGTCCAAAAAAAAAAAAATAGATGGTAAATAAAAACTCGAGGAAAGGAAACTTATTTCGATTATTCCAAAGAGCGGAATCGCGTTTCGATCGCGGCGAAGGTGGAGGGGCGATCGATCGATCCTCGTTAATAATCGTGGCGTCGCTCGAGCGGAAATAATTCATCGGATGAATTATTTGGCCCGGCTGAAAATACGTTTTCACGCCCCGCGTCTCGGCGCGCCGCCACATCGGATCAAATTTGTATCCCTCGTTAGAACTTGCCAACCTACGACGACGATACTGCCCCCTGCAAGTGCAAGTCTTGTCGAAAAAATGAAAAACGAAATTCCATTTTCGAATATCCGTATCTCTTCCTCGCTTCATATCTGCGAGAGAGGAATTATTGGGATTAAACGATGATTAGCTAGGGTGTTGAATATTATTGAAAATGTGTGGCAATTGTACTTGAATAATTGGAGATAATTGTAATAAGTAATAAGGGGGGGGGGCAAATGTAATGCGAGGTTTGTTCGAAATTTTAACTCGATCGATGGATTATCGGGCAGAGTTTGACTCGTTGGAAAAAGTAATCAGATTTAAAAATTTCGAATAAAGTTACTTCGAGTAATTTACTTGTTAACAAGTAACATTTATAGTTGATCCGTTTTTCATTTAATCATTGTTTGGCATTACAATTATTTGGAATTATGTTACGAATAAAGTAACTTTATTTAAAGTAACTTTAAATTGTTAAATTTTTGTCCATCAATGGGAAATCGAGTGATGTGAAAAATCTATAATAAAGAGATGAAATAAAAGAGAAAAAGGAAAAAATATTACATCGATCGAAGAAGATCTCGAGAGTGAATCAATCAATTTGAGAGATTTCCGAGAATCCGAAGATATCTTAATCGCACGAGTCCATCTGTTTAAATTTATTCAAATCTAACGTATCATCCAAATTAAAAAAAATCGATCCAGTATCGATCAGAAATATTTGTTACTCATCATAGCAAAAATTTCCTAAAAGAAGTTAAAAATCACCTTCTTTATTCCACGAATAAATCCTTTATCCGGAATATCGAATATCCTTCCAACAATTGAATTCCACGCTGAGCACACTGTTCGACTCCCTCATCCCCCTCACAATTCCCGAAATCCCCGATATATATTCATCCCGAGGAAGAAACGTTTTGATACAAGATCTCACAGATACAAAAGGTGGAAAAAATCAAAGGGGAAATGGCGGAAATATTACGCGGCGTCACATCTTTTTTTGGATAAACGCGAGGAAAGGTAATGGAAAATGTAAGGAAATCCTTTCCTTAACCTTTCCCCCCCCTCCCCCTTCGTTTCGATTATCTGCTTCCCAGATCGGAGGTCGAATTCTCCCATCCCCTCCCTCCGAGCGGACGATCGATTTGTCGCGCGACAATACGTCCGAGCGGAAGCGGAGGAACCCTCCGGCGGGGTCTCGTTTCCAAACGTTTCCTCTCCTCCCCCCTTCGAATCCTTTATCATAAATTTAATGAAAGGTCGAATGCCCTCCCCCCCTTTTTTTTTTTATTATTATTATTTATGCCGAATACCGCCATTATTCGGACGAAATCGCGCGTCGATGAATATCGAATAGATTGAATTGAATTAATGGAAACGGATATAAACGGGGGAAAGAGAGGAAAGGGAAGGGAGAAGGGGAGGGAGGTATCTGTCCCTTGAATCGAGGAAAGATAGGTATCAAGGAGGAAGACTGGATACCTCGAGGTAGTCTTAAGGTTAAACAGGGTGGCTTTTTTCTTTTTCTTAGTGTTTTTAAACGAATTTTTTACGATTCCAATCGAGCCCCTTCGTGGCGATAATTTTTCTTTTCATCAATTCGTTCAATACGATTGAATTTTCGTTTGAATTTCCGCGCGGTTGTAATGGTTCTTCGAGATATAATTTCGAGAAAGGAAGAAAGGAGTTGTTCTCTCTTATCATATGATTCCAAATCAAACTATCTATCGCCTAATTTCTCTCCCTGTCTTCCCTCTCCGATCGATCTTCTTCACCAATCGACCGATCTCCCTCCTTTCAAAAATTAATATCATATCGTTTGCGCAATGAGAAATGATTCTGCGACACGCAAATATTTGATTTGATTGAGTGTCTTAC